CAGGAACGGGACCTAGGAGGAGCACGGTAATGAAAACAGGAACGGGACCTAGGAGGAGCACGGTAATGAAAACAGGAATGGGCTTTCAGAAGGATAGATTGTGGCCTGTCTGGATGAGGAACTGATTTCTAGTCTCTTCTCAGTTCCGCTTCTGTTGCTGTTAATCTAGAAAATCTGGGAAGGATTTTCATGATTAATTGCCCTCCTTCTCCTGGAGAATGTGCATTTAGTCAAATAAAGGAGATTCAGAAAAAGCCCCTCTGTGCATTTGCTATTTCCCAAGTGACTTTAGTTGAAGTAATCAGCATAACAATGAGGAATACTTTGGGCTGCTATTTCCTGGATTCCTTCAGCATACATTGTAGAGGTTAGGGGCCAGGCACAGTGGCTCAGGCCTGAAAAGCACTTTGGGAGGCCGAGGTGGGTGGATTACATGAGCCCAGGAGTTCCAGACCAGCCTGGCCAACATGGCGAAATCCCTTCTACAAAAAGTACAAAATTAGCTGGGTGTGGTGGTGCACACCTGTGGTCCCAGCTACTTGGGAGCATGAGGCTTGAGCTTGGGAAGTGGAGATTGCAGTGAGCCGGGATTGTGCCATTGCATATAAGCCTCAGCAACAGAGCCAAAGCAAAAAAAAAAAAAAAAAGAGAGAAAGAAAGAAAGACTCCTTTAATTACATTACAGAGGTAAAGGAAAGCTTCCCCTTCACCCTCTGAAGGAGTGCTGAAAATCACTGACTAAAGGCATATTAATATGAGAAAAAAAATTATTTGATCATAGATGTACATGACATGGGGGCCCTTCAGAATGACGACCTAAAGATACAGGAGGAAATTGTCTATTTTTTTAAAAGTTCCATAAAGTATGAACAGCCTTGTAGAAATATGACTGGACACGAAGGATAGGATCTAATGCTAATACACGGCGTAGGAAAGCCTGTCTGTCCAGATTCTTCTGGGCCTGAGCAGCATTCCTTCTTTCTGGGTATGGGGCAGGTCCCTCTCTGGAACAGGGGTCTTATGACCTATAGTCAAACTTCTGCTTCTGTTGCTGCTGCTGAGGCCTTCATTTCGGGTTATAGTTTTCTGAGCCCCAACAATATATCAAAACATCACACTGTCTTCCAAAAATGTATACAATTATGATTTGTCAATTAAGAATATTAATAGAAAACAGTGTTACAGCTCTTTTAGAATTTGTCTAGCAGGCCTTCCAGTTTTTGCTGGGAAGCCCCCACCCCCACGAAGAATAACATTAATAAAAAATAAGACAAATGTAACAAATAGAACAGATTTATTTACCCAGATAACTACTCAATCCACAATAAACAACTCCAAACATCTTTCAGCACTTTTACTTCATAGCTGTGAGAACTGAATTTTTTGTGTTTTTAGTTCACTTTATCTGTTTACTTAACTCGCAGAAAATAACTCTTGAATGCCCAATGTATGTGAGGCCTGTTGCTCTATCCAGAGGGGCCAAGTGAGGAATTAATTCTTTTCAGCTGAGGATTTAGGAAGCTGGGAAGGCCTGGGCATTTGATCTGGGCCTTGATGGCAGAAAAAGCAGCATGGTGAAAAGCTTCTTATAGCTACAGGAATCTTTGTTAATATCCAGAGATCTCAACTTCAAGGATGAAGGGCTTCATGAGATCTCTGCTTTAGAGATGAAGAGCTTCATGAAGTCAGCAGACTTTTTTTTTTTTTTTAATAGCCTGTAACATGATATAAATTTATTAGCTGTCAGTATTGAAAATTTATATTTTATATTAAACTGCATATACTCTTGAAAAATTGGAAGACAAACTGTCCCTGTGCTTGCACTGCTAAAAGGGAGAAATCAGGGCAACCAAATTGAAAAGGTTTTTGTCTTTAGTTCTTAAGTTCCCACTGACTGACTCTCTTAGTTTCCATAGTAGTTGGCATTTATCAATATGCTTGCACTATGGCGGTTCTTACAGCAGAATTAAGAAAACAGTGGCATATGTTTTGGTCAATTATCTATGAAAACTGGAAAAATGAAATATGGTGTCAGAAGTCTGTGTGCTTCAAGAAAAATGGCAAAGAGCACCTGTCTTTATAGAGGTAAGTCATGATTTTTAATATCCAGCCGTTTTTGCTCTAATGTGCTGGGCCTTTGTGAGCAACTGACTTTTAGCTTGTGCTTTAAGGAATATCTTAACTGTGATCTTATCTGCAAATTAAGCTAAATGTAGGTATTTTATAAAGGGGAACCTGGAGTAGAAGGTTGGGATCGAAGCTTGGAAAATGATCTTAAGTGCTGTTACAGACTTCACTGTTTCCCTAAAACTTAGGCCAGGTGCTGGCAATCCTAGCACTTGCCTGTGTTCCTAGCACTTTGGGAGGCTGAGGCAGGTGGGATCACTTGAGGTGAGGGGTCTGAGACCAGCCTGGCCAATATGCTGAAACCCCATCTGCACTAAAAACACCAAAATTAGCCCGGCATGGTGGCAGGTGTCTGTAGTCCTAACTACTCAGGAGGCTGAGGCAGAACAATTGCTTGAACCCAGGAGGTGGAAGTTGCAGTGAGTCGAGACTGCACCACTGCACTCCAGTCTGGGCGACACAGTGAGTCTCTGTCTCAAAAAACAAAACCAAACCAAAAAACCTCATGTTGAAATCCCAACCCTCAGTGTGGTTGGTATTTGAAGACAGGGCATTTAAAGAGATAATTAAGGTTAAATGGAATTGTAGGGGTGGGGACTTAGTCAAACAGAACTAGAGAGCATGACCCTATTATTATTTATTTTAGGGTACAAAGCATTTTGGCTTTTTTGTTTACTTCTTTTGGAAAGCTCTGAGCAGATCACAAAACTTAACAGGAGTTTCTCCCTTACCCACTCCTCGCTCTTCCTATGTACCTCCCCACTCCCCTCTCACCCCCTTTAACCTCCGCACTAACGACTGTTAGAGAAACTTAAATCGTGCAATTCAAAGGCGTGAGAAATGGAAACCCTACCCTAGTCCACTGACGTAGTAGAAAGGAAGAAAGCATTTTAACTGGGGCTGCAAAGCGCAGCACCTTGAACTTCTGCTTTTTGGCCACAAGGTGGCAGGCGAGGGTCACATATGCTCTCACCCACTCGGAGGCTCGTGCCCCTCAGGTGTTCTCAAGGATGCCGGATGGGTAGGGAGGAAGCATCTCGAAGAAGAGCGCAAAGAGTAATGAAGGGAGGGGACAAATGTGATGCCAACTTAAGCAACATGATGAACTTAGGGGACTGGTCTCCAAGGAGCTTTGCTTGTCGTTGAGCTCTGTCGCCCAGCCCGAGGCGCCAAGGTACAGGGACTGGGGAGAACATTTTAGGGAAGTGAACGGCTAATCCTATAATGTAATCTGCATGACCCGCCGACCAATTGGCGTAATTTCGGGGCTATTTGTCGCCTGTGACAGAGACGAGACTATTCGCCCGAGATAGCCTTCCACCCACTGCTGTTAAGGGAAGTGACAGCAGAAAAAAAAAGGAAAAGTTAAGGGGTGATTGTAAAGCCTGAAGTGGAATTATGGTGCAGGGGCTTTTGCTGTGAATGGAGTTACAATAGAAATAATTCATTGACGGGGGTTAACGCAGTGGCAGGGGATGCAATGCCATGAGAATTCAGGTCTTCACTCTCTTGAATTCCTAACTATCCCACGCTCTTGGTTTACATCCTATTTCTGTGATCTTTTGTGGGGTCCGCTTCTCTTCAAACGCGGGGTTCTCGAACTTGTCGCAGGATTCCCAATCGTGGACTAAAATCCCAGCCTCAACGCTGCCCCCCGCCCTTGTTCCTCCCTCCTCCTGGCGTACCTTCCTCCCCACAGCCGACTGATTAACATCGAGCATTGTAAAAATTTGATTTTTCCAAGTTGTCGGGTTCTTTGTTCAATGTTTTATCTTAAAGGAGCTTCCCGTACTGCTTGACACCAATAATTTCAACTCATCCTAACATATCTGCTGCGATAGCAGGCACGATGATCCTACAATGCCTATTCCCCAGTGTATGTAAAAAGGACACCGGCAAGTCAGTCCCGCCCGGGATCTGTTCTGCTGCAGACAGTGGGACGGTAATTTACAACTTCGGTTCTTGGCGCCAGATCCCGATGCACTGCGGCACAGAACGGAAATTCATTTCCATTCCCAGACGTCTTGGAAAAACACAGCCCGGATGAGACCGGCAAATTGTAGCCCTTGGCGGGCTTTTCAAATAGGGCGCTGCCCAATCAGATAACGGGGATGTTACTGGCACTTGAAGAGTAACGGAAAGTAACCTGGTTGCTGAAAGCACAACTGCAAGCCTTTTCCCCCAAAGTATATCCAAAAACCCAAACTACATTTGCCTGGTGGGAGCTTAGCTTCCCTTTTCCCATCTTCCCTCCTAATGGAGGCCGGCCTGAGCCCACCCAGACGCCTACAAACAATATGTTCCGGCTCTTTTTCTGGAAGTGTTGAGTGGCTCTGAAAAGAGCCTTTGGATTGTCAGCATCTGGGAGGGGCTCACTTGGAGCTGGTGTACTTGGTGACGGCCTTGGTGCCCTCTGACACGGCGTGCTTGGCCAGCTCCCCGGGCAGCAGCAGGCGCACGGCCGTCTGGATCTCCCTGGAGGTGATGGTCGAGCGCTTGTTGTAATGCGCCAGGCGGGAAGCCTCGCCCGCGATGCGCTCGAAGATGTCGTTGACGAAGGAGTTCATGATGCCCATGGCCTTGGAGGAGATGCCGGTGTCGGGGTGCACCTGCTTCAGCACCTTGTACACGTAGATGGAGTAGCTCTCCTTGCGGCTGCGCTTGCGCTTCTTGCCGTCCTTCTTCTGAGCTTTAGTCACCGCCTTCTTGGAGCCCTTTTTTGGGGCCGGAGCGGACTTAGCCGGGTCGGGCATGCCGGAGGACAGTGAAAGAGCACTCGAGAAACAAAGAATGAGGAGGAGCTCAAACAATGAGGACGGACTGGGTTATGCCGTATTTATTGCTGATTCCATATGCAGATGAGATTGAGAAACTCCTCTGTCTGATTGGAAGTTACCCATATGACGCCTATATCAATACAGTCCAATAAAAACACGTATACTGAGAATCCTGATTTGCATCGTTTAAGAGGGAACGGCCAGCTTAGCCAATGACCCAGCTGCTTTTTCGCGCCCAGCAGCTGATATAAAAGCGCATCCCTGCAGTTTTCTTCCAGTCACTTCTGACTTAGATCACTGGTTGTTTTACCATGTCTGGACGTGGCAAGCAGGGCGGTAAAGCCCGCGCCAAGGCCAAGACCCGCTCTTCTCGCGCTGGTCTCCAGTTCCCCGTGGGCCGCGTGCACCGCCTGCTCCGCAAGGGCAACTACGCCGAGCGGGTCGGGGCCGGCGCGCCGGTCTACCTGGCTGCGGTGCTGGAGTACCTGACCGCCGAGATCCTGGAGCTGGCGGGCAACGCGGCCCGCGACAACAAGAAGACCCGCATCATCCCGCGCCACCTGCAGCTGGCCATCCGCAACGACGAGGAGCTCAACAAGCTGCTGGGCAAGGTCACCATCGCGCAGGGCGGCGTCCTGCCCAACATCCAGGCCGTGCTGCTGCCCAAGAAGACCGAGAGCCACCACAAGGCCAAGGGCAAATAAGAGCTGAACTTTAAAAGTGTAAATTTGCAAGACAAAAGGCTCTTTTCAGAGCCACCCACCATTTCTACGGAAGAACTGAGCACTTTGTTCTCCAAACGTCTCAGAAATTCGTGGCCGAGTTTAAGTACGTGAGGTAATTAGTTTCCTATTGGGTAAAACATGAGTATTGACTCAGGCCTAGTAAACACTGTTAAATTGCTACATTATATTCCTTGACATGTACAGGTAAAATGGAAAAAGAATTGCTACATCATAATAATATGGAAGCATCCTCGTTTATTGTCTCCTCTCCAGATCCTCCTGCATCTTTAAAGAACATTTTGGGGCCGGGCGCTGTGGTTTACCCGAGTATTCTCAGCACTTTGGAAAACAGGTAGGTGAGTGGGGAGGGGAGAAATCTCTTGGGGCGTGGAGTTCGAGATCACCTTGATCATAACGAGATCCCTCCCTCTTGAAAAAAAAGTGCTGGCGCGGTGACCCTCGTGAATCACCAGAGCAGAAGGACCACTTTAGCCCCAGGAGGTTTCAGTCAGCCACTGCACTCCAGCCTGGGCGACAGAGCGAGACCCGGTCTCAAAAGGAAAAACAAAACCCAATCAAAAGTTATTTCTAGTGATTATTTGCTCCTATGACTATAACAAATGTTAAGCCAACCTTTTTGTTTTTATGCGTCTTTATCAGTACCAGAGCCTGGTGGGTCCTTTGATTAACATTAAAATTTCCATCCTAATAAAATGGTGTTGTCAGAACTACCCAGATTCACTGGCAAAAATGTAATAACTGACCGAAACCTAATTAAATTAAGCAATGATTTACATAATTAATCCAATCAACCACTGGATTGCGTTAAACTCAGTTAATGAAAATGTCAGGAACCATTCATTGGTATCATTTGATCAAGCACCTACCATACTTCTTCCCCACACCACGTTGGGCAAAACTATGGCTTTGGTATTTTAGGGGACAATGTGCCAGCCTAAGTTTAAACTGTTTTTGTTCTGGGTCTTGGTACAGTCGCTAAAAGATTTAATGAAGCAGTTACAAAACGGAACTACTATTTGGAAATACTAACAAATACATTGTTCTACTGTATATATTTTTCACAATACCGAAATAGGAAAAATGATCCATTGGAAACGAGTTTAAGACTACGATTGACTTACACAAATTCTAGGTCAGATTCTCTTTTTGTTGGGGGAATGTTAACATGATTGTTTAAAAACAATAAATAAAACTGGTAGGGAGGCCGGGCGCGGATTACGCCTGTAATCCCAGCACTTTGGGAGTCTGAGGCGGACCATTCACTTGAGGTCAGGAGTTTGAGACCAGCCTGGCCAACATGGTGAAACCCCCATCTCTATAGACTAAAAACAAAAATTAGCTGAGCGTCATGGCAAGTGCCTGTAGTCTTACCTACTCGTGAGGCTAAGGCAGAATCGCTTGAACCCAGAAGGCGGAGGTTGCAGTGAGCTGAGGGGTCACTGCACTGCCCCCTTAGCAGAATAGAAAAAAAGAAAGAGGGCGTGACAGGAACAAATGAAGATTGTACTAAGAACCAATCAGGTTAGTCCTACAAGAGTTCTGACCAATCAGGATCAGATCGTCGTTATAAATTCTGGCAGAAGCCACTACTCGCTCAGTTGCTCGCTGTGAGAGCAAAGCTTACTTTACTATGGCCAGGACGAAGCAGACGGCCCGCAAATCCACCGGCGGCAAAGCGCCGCGCAAGCAGCTGGCCACGAAGGCAGCCCGCAAGAGCGCCCCGGCCACCGGCGGCGTGAAGAAGCCGCACCGCTACCGGCCCGGCACCGTGGCCCTGCGCGAGATCCGCCGCTACCAGAAGTCCACCGAGCTGCTGATCAGAAAGCTGCCTTTTCAGCGCCTGGTGCGCGAGATCGCGCAGGACTTCAAGACCGACCTGCGCTTCCAGAGCTCCGCGGTGATGGCGCTGCAGGAGGCCTGCGAGGCCTACCTGGTGGGGCTCTTTGAGGACACCAACCTGTGCGCCATCCACGCCAAGCGGGTGACTATCATGCCCAAGGACATCCAGCTCGCGCGCCGCATCCGCGGCGAGAGGGCGTAATCCCCTGCTCGGGAGTGGGTTTCTATTTCCAAAGGCTCTTTTCAGAGCCACTTATGTTCTCAATGGGAATAGCTGTTACACCACAGATTGAAGTGTCTTAAGTGCAACTTTAAAGCAGTGTGAAACTCTGCTTTTAAGATGGTATTCCTCTGGGTATAAGGAAGGCTAAAGATCTCACTTTCTCAAGGAAAGATCAACAAATCTATGTACAAGGTGGTATGAATTCCTTCCTGCTCACGGTGTTCTTTCGGCCAGTACTCTAGGTAACAATTAGATTTCTTAACTGGAAAGGGTTACACTGGCCTTGGCCCCCCGGAAGCTCGCTGAAAATCGCTGACTTGAGACTGGTTGATTAATAGAAAAGGCATACAAGTGTATTTAACACATAGACACGGGAAGTTTCGAAATTAAGACCTACCTGCCAATGAGGCACGTAAGTTTATATGCCACCTTGAGGTTACACAAAGTATGCAAGATTGGATCCTGGCAAAACATGATGTGAGGCAGAGAGGAAGAGGCTTGGCTAGCAAGGGGCAGTCTTGTTATGTGGATGGAAACCCCACAGGTAGCAGTCCTCAGAGAAACTGCAGACTGCAGACAGAAAAGCTCTGAAAGACTTTTGTAAAAGAAATTTATACCTATAAAAGAAATCTACATCAGTAAATGGTGGTTGCACGTACTGGCTTTCTCGGAGGCCCCCTTTCCCTCCCTAAAGAGGAAGATTGATTCAAAGGAGAGGAAACTAGTTTGTCGCAGGCAGTCAGCTATTCTTCTGAGATTACTTGAGAGACTTTATCTACATAGCAAGAAAACCTTTGCCTTTCCTTCCTTGGTGCCTTTGCATTTCCTCCCTCACCCTCTGACCACTTGTGTCACCACCTCTTCCAACCCCCCCCAGAAGTCCCAAGACCTTGTTTCTTTCTGTAGTCTCACAATGGGATACAAATGTCAATTAGGGTGGTCACAAGAGAATAGAAAATTCCAGGCAGCAGTTTCACATCACTAGCAAAAAGGAAACTGTTGAAATAGCTGCACAAGCTAGGGGCCAAAAAGACCCTGAAAACCGGACTGTTGGTCAAGCTGGCTCAGTCCTACTTGACCCACTGTGGCATGGGATTTGACCTAGGTTTCACCTGGGACCTCATTATATACTTAACGTAGAAATTCGATACCCACCAATGCCATGACAGTTCCAAAAACACCCATTTTTCATGGAAAAGTTTTGAGAAATTGTCACCCTTTTCCAGACATCTTCATGAATATTCCATTCCTTGGTTAAAGAAACCCATAAAGATTGAAGCCCTAATCACTGCTGGGCAAGACTGGCTCTCTTGAGCACTTATTTTCACTTTGCAATAAACCTCTGTACTTTCACTATTTTCTGACTTGTCCTTTGATTCTTTCTGGCAATGGTGGTAAGGGCATGGGCCCTGGCTGGGATCAACAACCTAACAGCATTTGGTCAGGCTGCCCTCGAACTCCACTAAATACAAAATTAACCTCCTAGCTGTCCTTGTTCATTGCTGGGCGTAGACTGAACTAACTTTGGGAGAAACTTAGTTTATAGTTTAAAACAAAGACTACAGGCTGGGCATGCGTGGTGGCTCATGCCTATAATCTCAGCACTTTGGGAGGCCAAAGTCAGTGAATCACGAGGTCAGGAGTTCAAGACCAGACTGGCCAAGATGGTGAAACTCCGTCTCTACCAAAAATACAAAAATTAGCCAGGTGTGGTAGCAGGCACCGTAATCCCAGCTGAGGCAGGAGAGTCACTTGAACCCAGGTGGCAGAGGTTGCAGAGGGCCGAGATCGCACTGCTTCGCGCCATTGAACTCCAGCCTGGGTGATAGAGTGACTCTTGTCTCAAAAGAAAAAAAAAAAAAAAGACCTATAATAGCCCTTTCCCAGGGCAGACCTCCTTCTTGCCTGGGGACTAGATGCAAACATTAGCCGCAGGATTTGAAATTATGGTGTAGGAGTCAGGCAACTGGAGGCTAAAAGATGCAGATCCTGCTTAAACTGCTCCTAAGATCAGCACTTGATGAGTCAGCAGGCACCACCCAGATTGATAAACTGCTTCATCTGATCTTGTGTGCAGGCCTCAGCCTCCCAAAATGCTGGGATTACAGGCGTGAGCCACCGTGCCTGGCCAATTTATTTCTTTCTTTTGTTTTCTTTTTCTTCTAGTCAATCTTGAAAGATGCTAGAAGTACAACATTTTCTTTTCTTTTCTTGCTCTGTCACCCAGGCTGGAGTGCAATAGTGCACTCTTGGCTTACTGCAACCTCTGCCTCCTGAGTTCAAGTGATTCTCTTGCCTCAACCTCCTAACAGATTACAATCACAGGCCACCATGCCTGGTTAATTTTTTGTGTGTTTTTAGTGGAGGTTAGGTTTCACTTGCTCTCCACTAAAAGTTGGCCAGGCTAGTTTCGCTCTTCTAGCTTCAATAGCCTCAAGTGATCTGCCTGCCTCGGGCAATACAACTCTTTTTTAATGTGAAAAAAAAAAAAAATACACAATGTATCTCAATTAACCAATAGGGATATAAAGTATCTGATTTAACATAGAGAATTCACAAGGGGCGGTATGTTGCAGCTCACCTCTGTAATCCCAGCAGGTTATAAGGCTGAGGCAGGTGGATCGCTTGAGCCCAGAAGTTTGAGACCAGCCTGGGCAACATGGTGGAACCCCATTTCTACAAAAAATACTAAAAGTAGTTGGGCATGGGTGGTGGCTCAGATCTGTAGTCCCAGGTTCTGGGGAGGCTAAGGTGGGAAGATTAGCACTCCAGCCTTTGTGACAGAGCAAGATCCTATCTCAAGAAAAAAAAAAAGAAAAAGAATGTACACCTTTGAAAAACACAAATGTCAGTGTGGTAGGGCACAGAAAGGTGTGAGACCCAAAGGTTCACAGCTTGAACTATAACAAAAAAGAGGTTAACAAATGAAAAGCATAAGAAATGGATCTAATCAAAGTTTTACCTGACACTGGAGACTTTAGAAATGAAGCTCCAAAGACCCAAGGAAAACTGTCTGTTTTCATAGGTACCTCCAATGAAGAATAGAGAGACATTTAGAAATGTGATTAGGCAAAGACAGTATTGAAGAAACAGCACGGCTTGTCTGTTCAGATTCTTCTCCACCTCTGTGTGTAGCATCCTGTTCTCCAGGTATGGCAGGACGCCTTTGGAATGAGAGTCTTCAAGGGAGAAGGGACAGTGACTTTCTAGGTTTTAAGGCTTGCTTTGGGGGAGAGGAGTTGTAGTTTCCATGACCTGCTTTGGGAAAGAGACCTTCTGGTTTCTATGACTCCCTTCCAGCAGAGAAACGACAGGAGAAAGTACTCAGCATACAAAGATGCCATACTTTGAGGCATTATGTTCTGAGCCCCCCAAAATGTAAATACTCCTAGAGCAAAACTTTTTTTTTTTTTTGAGATGGAGTCTTGCACTGTCACCTAGGCTGGAGTTCAGTGGTGCGATCTCTGCTCACTGCAACCTCTGCTTATTGGGTTCAAGCAATTCTCTTGCCACAGCCTCCTGAATAGCTGGGATTACAGGCATGTGCCACTATGACCAGCTAGTTTTTGTATGTATTTTTAGTAAAGACAGGGTTTCACCATGTTGGCCAAGCTGGTCACAAATTCCTAACTTAAGGTGATCCACCTACCTCAGCCTCCTTGAGTGCTGGGACTACAGGAGTGAGCCACCTCATGCCCAAGGGCAAAATATTTTCTAGGCAATCAAGTAAACCAGAGATCTTTCAAAGGATTGTGAAAGGAAAATAAATCTCAGTACCCCAAAACCACTAAGCCAAGGAAAAGTCAAGCTGTGAACTGTGTCAGGCAAACCTGCCTTTCATTTTATTCCTAAATAAGATAGCTACAATAAAAAGCTATAAACCTCCCTTGCAATATTCCCACAAGGAAATTCCTTGTGGACAAAGGATACAGAGAACTCAAAGTCATCCCTCTGAGGCTCAACTGAGACATATGTGTATCTGATTGCTCCCTCTGCCCTATTGTATATGTAAAAATGCAGATTCACTTTACCAGACTAAATTGTCTATTCAGTGGAAGGCTGATCAAGGACTCAAAATAATGCCACCTTTTGTCTTGACTCCTCTTCTAACCTGGAAGCCCCCACTTGGAGTTGTCCTGCTTTACCGGACCGAACCCACGTACATCTTACACATATTGATCGATATCTTATGTCTCCCTAAAATGTATAAAAGCAAGCTGTACCCCAACCACCTTGGGCACATGTTGCCAGGACCTTCTCAGGCTGTGTCACGGGTGCATCCTTAGCCTTGGTAAAATAAACTTTCTAAATTGATACCTTTTGGTTTACACGATGTTATACAAGGAACCAGAATATTCCTCCCCAAAAATATGCCACTTGGCTATAAGAATTATTTTGAGAAACAGCCGATACAGAAAAAGCACTGAAAATGGTAAAAGTTTCTGTTTTGTAAAAGAAAAACAACAAAAACGAACAAAACTTCCATTTATAAAAGACATTTCCCTTGGTAAAGATGTCCTCCTTGGTTATACCAGAAGAGGAGAATGGCCCCCAGAGACAATTCTTGCCACCTGAGATGACTTGAACCTGCATACAAGACTGTATTAGATAATCCTTATCTTCCATTAGTTTATTCCATATATTTTCCTTCCTACAATTTACTCCGCTAGGAAACGACCCCCTCTTTAAAATGGTATACAACCCCCCATGTCTGTCTCTCTGCCTCCTTGGGCTTTTACTCGCCTTCTGTGAAGGCTGCCACATGGATATGTATAACAATAAATATTTTCCCCTATTGATCTGTCTTTTGTCAGTTTAATTTGTAGGGCCCAACTACAAAGTCTAACAGTGTAAAAGGAAAGTTTCATATACTACAGTTTCTTTTACCACATAAAGGGGCACTTAAAAGGTTTTTCAATGCTTCCAGATTTCATCTTGAAATAGTTTGTTATAAAATAACATATACAAGAACAGTGCATTTTAATGCTGCCTCATTTTTCTGTAGTTGGAAAAGAGGAATTGCTGAGATTAATGGGCCACAAGAGACACAGGATTTAAACCTCCAAGGTTAAGGACCTAGGTTCCACTGTTAAAAGAGGGGGAAAAAGAATCCAGCCTAGTTCAGTGAGAAATTGATTAACAGAACATGAGTAATGTAATGTTTTGTACATACAGAAAACATAGTTTATAATATACTCGAAGAGACTGATTTTTAGAATAAAATTAGATTATTAAAGGAGTAAATAATCAAACACATTTGAAATATAAAAGGTAAACGTTACTGATGTTCAGGAATAAAAAGAGTGAATGTCAGCAGAGAGAAAATCTGATATCTGGAGGTGTGCATGTCAGGGCTAGAGAAAGGTGATTCCAAACACCTTAAGTCAAGAAAGTCACCCAACACTCTCCCTTTGAAACTCTTTTTATTGGAATAAAGTCATCCTTGGTCTCTCCCTCCTGCACTTTATTTGTAAGTTTAAAAGACAGGGTTTCTGGGCACAGCTGATTCCCTAGTTCAACAGAAAAGAATGGGGGAGCTCAAGTGGTATGTCCACCACTATAAGAAAATAGAGGGTAAAAGCCACCTTTCTTCCTCAACCAGCTTCCTGAAGTGTTTCTAGGTGAATGAGGAAAAATATAGAAAGTCAGTTTTTCCCCCAAAAATGTGGTCAGCGAGGGAGACAAAGAAAGAAAGGACGGCTACAGAAAGAGCAAAACCTAAGGAAAATAAAAGAGAACCAAATTTGAGAAAAGGTGAGAAATTTCACCTTCAAGCTCTCATCAGGCGTCGTCCTTTGCAGTCAGCCACTCCATAGGCTGATCACTTTGAGATTGTAGGAAGCAGTTTCTACACACTATTTCACAAATGCCCCAAGCCACTGTGATTATCCCTCTAGAGAGAGCGCCACTAGGTTCCAGCAGCCACAAGGCACTAGAGCAATGGATGCTTAGAGGTGACAGGGAAAACAGACAGCGAAGACTCAAAGGAAAATCCCTGCAGCGGTGCTCAGCGCAAAACACTGTGGAAGGGCAAGGTGAACGGAGTATTTTTAATTGGGCATCATTTTTAGAAACTCGAGTTTAAGCACCGCCCTTTCTATGTTTTCCTGAAGTCGTGGGCAGGGCTCAAGGTCTGTAAATTGAGTGACCGGATGCAGCTGGTGTGAGAGTTCTCAATCAGGTCCGACTTATCACTATATAAACTGCTGCTGCGAGGGTCGCTTTCTTGCGTTCTCCTTAGAACAAAGCATGTCTGGCCGCGGCAAAGGCGGGAAGGGGCTGGGGAAGGGAGGAGCCAAGCGCCACCGCAAGGTGCTGCGCGACAACATCCAGGGCATCACCAAGCCCGCCATCCG